TGAACCAACCTGGACACAGCATATTATTTGAGAACACAGAAATGCTGGACCACTCTCACAACCACCATGTCAGGCTACACATTGAAATAAGCCATTGAAATCCACAAGCATGTGGACAATTTCAACAGAAAGGAGGAAACCATGAAATGAACAAAATCTGGCTACCGTATTTTTTTAAAAAAACCCTCTAAAATCATAAATAAAGAGCAACACTCAAAAACAGACAAACAATCACAGCCAGCTAATCACCTCCCAACAAAAGATTCCCCCAGGCAGTAAGAAGCCAGACCCGGAAACTCCTGGACCATTAAATACTAATCAAGGTGGCCAATTGAAACATTCACATCTATCTCAAACAGACAAGAGTTCATTCTACCACCCTGGACATTCAACCAATAAATAAAACCCATTTTCTTAGTTTCCAGCAGACCTCACAACCTCTGAGGATGCCTGCCATAGATGGGGGTAAAACATCAGGAGATAATGCTTCTGGAATATGACTATACAGCCCAGAAAACTCATAACAACCCAGTGATTCCAGCCATGAAAGCCTTCAGCAATATGTTGTTTAATTTTCTATGCTTTCAAGTCATGCCTTACTTATTGCAGATTTAAGATGAACCTGTCATGAGGCTTTCTTTGTATAATTTGTTCAGAGGTTTTCCTTTGCCTTCCTCCGAGGTCGGGAGAGTGTGATTTCCCAAGACCATCCAGGGATTCCATGGCTAAAGAGGGATTTCAACCTTGGCCTCCTGGATACCTAGTCCAATACTCAAATCTATGCATTATGCTTCCTATTTTAAAAAAATATAACTAATTATATTTATATATGTGGAAAGGAAGCATAATATTGTGCAATTTGAGCAAATTCAAACTAAATTGGGATTTTAGAAAAACGCTGGAAAAGATATCCTTTTCTTCCTCAGACCTCTATTTCCATATAGTCAATTCAATGAAATGTAGGCAGAATAAAAAGAAATATTTTGAAAAATAAGCCAAGAGTTGGGGGGGGGGGGGTTTCCTGGAATTGGAAGTGTTTGTGCATTTTCTATGAAGCTGGCTTGACCATAAATAACATTTTCAAGACCTTTCTATAATCTGCATTTTCAGTCAGACCCCATGAGTGGGCATTAATCCAGAGATGTGGGAGAGAGAGAAAGAGAAAGGAGTGGGGGAGTTTGGGGAGGGTTGCGGCAGAGGAGCGTCCACAAATAAACAGCCCAATTTTCCTTCAGGAGCCAAGCTAATTCTTTTCAATCCACTTTTTTATTACACTATTTTCCCTCACTCTATTTAGCGAGCATAAGGATAAATTTCCAAAGCTACCCGGTTGGAAAATAAATGGGTTCGCTGTTTGTCTAGCATTCCAATCTTTACAAATGTAAATCAGTCCAACTGCTGCTCCATTTAAAACCTCACAACTTCACAAAACATTAAAGGCCTCCTTTCAATACACAATTTACTCTGTGACAATTCCCTCCGATTTGGGCTTCAAACGTTGTTAGAAACTGACTGACTGGTGCAGCGGAGGGGGGGCCGCTATCAAAGGTTGGCGAGGTCAACCTGTGTAATTATATGTACTTTTACTGGGTCAACTACACCAGACACTGCTATTTGAAGGTTAAATTGTTACAATTAAGTACATATACAGCCTATTCCCATAGCTACTCTGTTGTTAAATCTACCGTAAACAACGCACGCATTTATTTCTGCTCCTAATTGTGTCCGAGATGTCTCTGCTTGGAAAATTATATGACAAAAAAGAACATTGTAATCCATTACCGAATTAAACAATACTTCCTCGGCGAAAGCGGGCAATTAGCTGGGGGAAACTAGTTTTCATCTATCCGCATCAATGCTAAGAAGTTCATTTGGGTTACTCTGTTTAGGTTTAATTGGAATGCTCTACGTCACTCCTCCCAAGTATGTTTTTATGGATGGAGCATTTGCCACAAACAGAATCTGACCTCCTGCCCAATGGAAAATCATTCATTAGTGAAATGTTTCTTTGTGCCCCCCAAGACCGGTAGGGGGTTGCGCTCCCCTCTTTCTCTAAGCCCCATTTAAAGGGAACTCTCATCTTTCTTTTCTAAGACCGTTATAGAAGCAGTCCAATATACACTCATACCATAACTAGTGTGAAATTAGTTTGGTGTTATAAAAAGACTGATTCACATGACCTCTCTTTGGTCTGAAATGTAGACTGGTAGAGCTGTAGATTCAGTTGGGTTCAGCGATACAACAAACAGCTGGGGCTTTTGTTGTATCTAATATTCTATGGGAACCCACAAGCTGATGAGCACCAGTACTCTGAGTTTATTTATTTATTTCCCTCTTTTTTTCCTCCATAACGGGACTCAAGGCAACTAACAATATATTAAAACAATAGAAGTTAAGAACAATACACAATCATTAAAAGGATGAACATAATTTTTCAAAAACAATTAAGCATTTTTATACGTTAAAAACAGTAAACATTAAAATGCATTAAAATTAATTGACTCTGTACAAACCCTTAAAATTTAATACCAGTACTATGCAGCATTAAAAGTCCAACCAAAAATACCTTAACTCCTGCTGGATCCAAACCATAGAACCATGCTGAAAGATCTATAAACCGCCTAAGGAGAACTTTTTTTAGACATGTGTGAGTGAAACCATGGATACTGGCCCTGTGAATACTTGGGTCAACATTAGTTTATATTACTAGTCTATGGCTGTTCCTGATAAAATGCAGGCTATGATTCACAGTCTTTCCCACAATGTCACATGGATTGCATTACCAAATACTTGGAAGGGCTACCATGGAGTAGAGCAGTGGTTCTCAACCTGTGGGTCCCCAGATATTTTGGCCTACAACTCCCAGAAATCTCAGGCAGTTTACCACCTGTTAGGATTTTTGGGAGTTGAAGGCCAAAACATCCAGGGACTCACAGGTTGAGAACCACTACACTAGAGAAACACACTGTGATTCTGGTGCCGCAATTGCCAACACTGGTGCCATATTATGAAAATCATAGACTTTAAGGCAGACTACTAAAAGGGACCTCTTGAACTCCAGAAAGTCCACATAGAGAAAACATCATAAAAGTCTTCTGTCTAAAGGTAAAGGGGTACTTTTAAAAGCTTAGACCAATGGGGAAAGGTGTCCACCCTCCTTCATCCCATCTTTCCTCTAAGAAAATCCAAGTAAAGGTGCATTTGTATTTAGAAATCTACATGAATATGGGATGACTTTAGGAAACAAAGACTCACAAGTTTCATTGTCTTATGCTCCCTGTCCTTCGTTGATACAGAAGACACATTGGGTTCTGCAACTTAAAAAAAAAGATAGAACATCTTTATGGAACTGAATCCAACAAATTGCACTCTCTAAATCCTCTGGAGTTTGTAAGTGGAAGGGATATTGGCAAAGGCAGGGTCTCTCAAATGTTTACTGAGTGACTTGTAATTACATAGTGTGGAAGGGTCCATAAGGCCAGCCAAAAGTCTGATGAAAATACTTTTATCAATCAATACTGAACCATGAACAAAAATGCTATACAAACAAAGCAATCTTGCATTAAAAGTAGCCAAGTGATCTTGTTGTGCAACTCTGCTAATTTTACACAACATTTTTGTTCAATATTGCTATTTTCTATATTAAAAAACATGTGTCTGCCTGAAAACAGAGTTTTTTGCTCCAAAAGCTGCATAGCTTTCAGGGAAGGCTGCACAGTTCCCAGTGCAGTTAAATTATTGCTGGAAAATAACTTTCAAAGTGTATCAAAGCTACAGGACAAAAACTGTTTAATAATAATAATAATATAACTTTATTTCTACCCCGCCACCATCTCCCCAAAGGGGACTCGGGGCAGCTTACATGAGGCCAAGCCCAACAATTACAACAGATCAAAATCAAATACATACAGCAAATAATAAAATCAAATAAAATGTAAACAAAACAAGTTAATACAAAGCCAAACACAGATGAAAATAAAATAATAGAAATGTGCGCAGTGGGCTGGGCCAATTACAAGGGATAGAATTATAAAATATAAAAACAATGGGTGAGATGGATGAGTAGGTAGTGTGCCTGATGAGAAATTTCAGATGGGACGAGCAATGGGGTGAATTTCACTAAAAGATGAGATAAAGTGCATTGAAGGTCATATTGGGTTGTTGTAGGTTTTTTTGGGCTATATGGCCATGGTCTAGAGGCATTCTCCTGATGTTTCACCTGCATCTATGGCAAGCATCCTCTCACTACCTTCTGAGGATGCTTGCCATAGATGCAGGCAAAACGTCAGGAGAATGCCTCTAGACCATGGCCATATAGCCCAAAAAAACCTACAACAATCCGGTGATTACAGCCATGAAAGCCTTCAACAATACATTGAAGGTCATATTGTACTGAGCTGGTTATGGTGTGGGGGTTTGTATTCATTCCTCAAAGGCACACCGGAAGAGCCAGGTTTTTAGGTTCTTCCTGAAGGCTGCCAGGGTGAGTGCTTCTTTAATCTCTCCAGGTAGCGAGTTCCAAAGCCGAGTTCCAAATTATCCTCACAATTTGCTAAGATTTGGGGAAATTTCCATTTACCATCCACACAGAAAAATTTCCAAATAAAGATTCGTTTCTACACAAAAATTACTATTGGACATAAAAGTCTGTTTTCTGTACAAAAATGTCCCGTGTGAATTTTGCACAGAATTACTCCTGAACTATTAATAGTTTTCAAAGCTTTTGCAGTTTTCAAAGACTGTTGCAGCAAGGAGGAACTTGCTAAAATTTCTCATTGCTTCCTTTGAGAACAAAATGAGTGAAGCATTGCATTTGTAGCTCAAAAACAACATGCTTCGAAGGCTCTGCTAATTCATTGCCGTGATTTCCTCCAGGAGAAATGATGGAAGTAGTATTCTTAAGAACACTTTTTATATTTGGGGTTTCTTTGATAATGTGCACCAAGCAAATTAGCTCCTCTGCTTTCCATTTAATTTCTCTTTCTCCTTTGTATTTCCAGATTTTGTGTGGGAGACAAATTTTTCCTAAAGAACAACATGATTCTCTGCCAGACGGACTATGAGGAGGGTTTAATGAAAGAAGGTTACGCGCCCCAAGTTCGCTGAGCTGATCCTCACTCCTAAGAATACTGAAGCACTACATTCTTATCTTTTCTGTTCTTCTCTTTCTGTTCAACATGTATATAAGAAATAATGGCGGAATCTACTGAATAGCATAGATATAGGGAGACAGAATGATCATGTGGAATAAAAAGCGAACTGCAGATATACCTAGTGGAAATTGCACCAGTTCACAGTTGAATGTTTATTAAAAGATAATGTACATACTGCTGAAAGGGTCTGGGGTTTGGTTTGGGGATTTTTTGGCTTGCTGTTTTGGGTTATTTTTTCCCTTTTGTGTCATTTGGCATGAGATGCTTATTTTGGACGAATGTATATAATGCATTGTTATATTTGAAGCACAAATGTAATACAGTTTTATTGTGTTACCATTTGTGTTCCCGTTGGCTTATTTGTATTGTTGCATTTAGTACAATCGGTGTCCAAACTTTATTGTATATTTATGCTTTCTTGTATCTACCAGCTATTTTGGAAAAGCTGTATCTTTGTAGTAAAAACAAAAAAAAGAACAAAAAGAGAATTTTAAGAGCCAATCCCATGCATTATTCTCCATGCTTCAGAGATGCTTATCAACACTTGAACTATTTAACAGGAAAAAAATGTGAGGCAAGATCTAGCCACACTTAAGTACTTAGTTCCATTGACTTGTATAGTGTGTGCTTAACTCTCCCATTGAAATCAATGGGATTTATGAGCGCTTAATTTCTGACTGGATTATAATGCTAACAAAAGTGTTAAAGTTGCCACCATTCAACAAATCACTACTGCATTTTTCTTCATCTTTTTTTTTTTGTAAAGGAATGAACTTGGGGATTTTATTTCATACATTTCATGGGAAAGTATGTTCTGTTTTGCTACAGAATTTGGTGTTGTTTTAATTTTATTGGCAGGTGTTTTCAACTTTATGGAGCAGGTGTTTCATTATTTTGGGGGCTACTGTGCTCTGTACCCACCTCGAAGGAAGGAAAAGGAAGATGTTGGAATGCCTTGTTTCCAACATAACTGGGAATGAGGAGCTGAGCCCCAATGCAACTCAGTGCCTTTGGGTGTCATATAAAATTTTTATATGTACATATATATATATTTCTCTGAAATTATTTTACTGTAGCATAGTAATTTCTGCTCCTGTACAGAAATGTTATTTTAACGAAATGAGTGTTTTTCCTGAACTTTATCTGGTTTGGGTCCAGCATACCTAAGAGACTATCTGGTTTGGGTCCAGCATACCTCTCCCTATGGTCAGTTCCATCCATAACATTGACCAGGAGTGCCCTCTTCAGGTTACCTTCTGCGTACCAACTCAAGACAGCTGGGCCTTTCAGCAAGGCATCTTGGGTGGTTGCATGGAAACTCCACCCCAGCGGGACTATCAAAAGCTGCATAATCTTTCACAAGTCTTCAGCTTTCTGATGTGGGACTACCATTTGGGAGAATAGAAATGAAGCACTTCCCATAAAGTGCTAAGCATCTGTTAGCATCTGTTCCTTTGTAGATGTGATTGATCAAAATTTAACTGGCTATTGTATTTTTGTTTTGTTTCTTAATTTATTGTTCTCCATTCCAAATTGTTGGGGTGGGGCAGTCTACAAATAAATAAAATCTAAGAATTGGATGGCTGTATCTCTAGCTGTTGCTTTTCATCTGCCACCATTCCTCAAAGGTTGTGAAATGGCCAATTGTTAGTAGACCAATAAAGCCAACATCATCGCTATGTTATGAACAACTATAGTTGCTCTTTCTGCTTTATTTGAACCATCTAACCAGAATCTGTTACTAGGTTTTGAATATCTACCTAGCCAATTAGTGCAAGGGTTATGAAGGAACAAGCTAAGATCCTAAAGTATAATGTTATATCATTGACTACTAAAGTTAGGATCGTCCATGATAAGGTGACTTGGAGGTCTCTCATTTATGGGATCAACATAGTTAAAGTTGACTTAAAGGAAGTTAACAAATACCAAATGCATCACTATACATAGATACAAGAGCCCAAATTCTGTTCTCATATAAAATGAAGAGTTGACTATTAGCACTGAAAGTTACATTCAACTTGTGTATAGAAGGACAGACAGTTGAGAGAGTATTGCTGCTTTTCTACATTCTTTATCCATGTCTTGGGAGATTTTCTTCTCCTTTACATGAGAAATGATTCAGACAATTGGACACTAAGCAGAACTTACAAAAGATCTTTCAGAAAGTAGTCGCTGTAACCTTCAGCTGTTCATTTGGGGCCAGAACTGCCACCTGGTTGTTGCCATTTTTTTTCTGTGAAAACAAATAGTGTTCAGCTGCTTCTAAAAGCCCCCAAGAGCAGCAATTCTATTTTAAATACATTTTAGGGGATCCTGTACTTTGAGGCCCACAACATCCCCTTCTCCCAATGTTCATAAAATCCTTAAGGGAGAAAACTCAAAGATAAATGTGGTTGCCTGGACTCCAGCATCTTTGGAAAAATAGCAACATGTTAAAACAAATAGGGAATGATGCGTCAGTGGCACATCTAGATTGGAGTCTGAAAATTGCTATCCTGGTTTAAGCTGAAGGTAAGTGATTGCATCCTGGACACAGATGGCAAATGTGTCCACAATAAGCTCTGTGCAAATCCACCTCTAAAAAGTCTGTCTGAAGCATTAATAATGTATTTACTCTTAGGCATCAATATGGTGTATGAGTGAGTTATACCATTTCAACTTAGCATTATTAATATTGCAAATGTCAACCAAAGGTGGGAGATGTCTGCTTTACAGTCTCAGAACACTATTCAAATGTGTTAGTGGGCATAGAAAGGGTCAAAACCCATTCACAGTACAAATTCAGCCTCTTGACTACTTATAGAAGGCCATCAAAGTCATGCAAGCCAGTAGGAGCAGTCAGACTTAAGGGCCAGAAACCTAGCTATATCAGTATCCCACAAGGATGTTAAGGGAGACTACTGCCCTAGAGTGTTAAGGCTCTGTGACACATATGAGGGATCTACATCACTTCCTTCCTATTAGAAGCTTCCTGTACCTTCTGAAAGGTTGTCTCACATCCATGAACTGAGAACAAAAGGCAGATTCTGAGGCACTTCAAGCCATGAAAAGCATACTCATGCAACTGGTGGAAAGATATACAGGGCTCCTAACTCATGGCTCATAGTATCCTAATATGATGGCATTAAGATATCCCCTTACTCTGCTGCAAATACCATATACATGAATCATTGGCTATGACTTGTATCCAATGAGATTAGTTCAGTGTAATCATTTCCAAACCTTTTTTTGATGTGGTAACCCTGATCAGATACCAAATGATGTTGGACAGTGAACCATAGCTTTTTCACAATTGCCGGTGCTGGCTTGGGCTGATTGGACTGAACACTTCGCTTTCTCTGACCAAAGCACAAAAAGACACTCATCCCCAAACCCTGGTAGTTGGCTGCTGATCAACATGTGTGGTACTCAACTTGGTGCACACCTTTAAGTGATATTTTTGTTTTTCCTTGATGAGACAAGGCAAGGTGAGCATTATTTAAAGATCCAGTCTAAATCAAAGAAGTTGAGTTGCAAGTCATTCATCACTCTTTAGTATTTTCAAGAAAAGGTGATGTTTGCATAAAGGAAAACACTGAAAACCAAGATACAACGAATTGCCCACCAAATACACATTTGAAATGCCCTTCAGTTGATTTTTCTCTCATGCGACTGCTGCTAGGGAAGAATGCTTACCATCTTCCCTTTCTCTCTCTCGTCAGTATGTCATTGGGACGAAAGCTCCCAGAAAATATCTCATGTAATCAATGTGTTCAGAGAGTTATCCAGCACAAATTACTCATTAACTCAATAGCACATAATAAAAAAGAACAATTAATTAATGAGTCACCCTCAGATCACTTTGATTACAACACTGCTAGGAGGAATGGCAGTTATAAATGAAGCTGCCTCTCAATTCATTGACGTCCGTGTGTGTACGTGTGTGTGTGTGTACATGAAATGTGTGCCTTGGCCCATGTCATATTTATTAATACACGTCTGCAGGTAATTGCAAGATTAGGTTAATAAAGGAAGGATTTGCCCGAAAGAGAGGGAAGCAAGTGTTCAGTGCTATTTGATTTTCAAGGAGCTTTACCACATTTATCTTTTTCTCCCTGACATGAACCCCCATCATTGTTATTCCCATTTTACAAATAAGAAGCTGTGGGAAAATGTATTTTAATAAAATTTAAATTAAAAAGACCGGGTTTTTTTTTAGAAATGTAAATAGCATCAATGTAATAGGTCACAATTATTGCTATCACAGCAGGCACAGAGTGTAAATTAACCTGACTGGGAATTGGAGGAACTCCACTCATCACCACTACGAAGAAAATACCAGCAGACACATTTTCCCCAGGAATGGGCCAGAAAGAAAGGGTTAAGTTCTCCTGTGATATCTGCTAGGATCCTAATAATTTGACGAGCATTCAGTATCACAGTTGCGGATTTGTAACCTAGACTTATAGATCCATATAGTCAGTAAAACTACTGAAGACTCCGTAAATGGAAACCCAGCCCACTTTAATAGGCAGCAGCAGGATTGGGCAAAGGAGGTTCATTTAGCTTCTGTTGAGTGTAAGAAGGAGGATGTTTACATGCATTTCCTGCATGTTGGCATGTCAAAAATAAGCCTACACAACCACAGTTCTCCTCCCTGAGCTTTCAACATACAAGATGCTTCCTTTTGTCTAAGCATGTGAACTTACTTTTAGTACAAAATGGTGCAGCCACAGATTTGCAAACTCTGAGATGATAATAGGGAACACTGGCCTAACAAAATTCTATATGAAAAGTTGTCATTTATCAGAAGACACTGGTAACTCCCATATCATGAATCTATTACAGGTTTTGACCCAAATGTTTATGGAACCAACCAAAGAACTGAACTTATTTTAAGGGTAGAGTTCAACACCCTGGGCCTTTAAATACAGACTGAAGCATAGAGTAGCTTGACTATAATTGGGTAATAATGACAGATATGATTGGATTGTATGTGCATTAGAAGGTTCAAAAATGAAACTGCCATAGAGTTTTAGCTTTGTAGGTATATTCATAAGCTGGGTTTCAAAAAATATTTATATACTTAGAGTTAAGGTAAAGGTTTTTACCTGACATTAAGTCCAGTCGTGCCTGACTCTGGGGGTTGGTGCTCATCTCCATTTCTAATCTGAAGAGCCGGCGTAAACACCACCAAGGTCATGAGGCCGACATGACTGCATAAAGCACCGTTACCTTCCTGCCACAGTGGTACCTATTGATCTACGCGCATTTGCATGTTTTCAAATTGCTAGGTTGGCAGAAGCTGGGCCTAACACTGGGAACTGACCCTGCTCCATGGATTCGAACCTTTCAGTCAACAAGTTTAGCAGCTCAGCGCTTTAACCCACTGTGCCACTGGGATTTTTTAAAAAAGAAATACATTTCTGTTGAAACACTGCACAAAAATATTATAGTTGTTTTGATCTTATTTTTTCTGATGGTGTCACCTCATATAGCCCACTTGCACACACTTTCACACCCCCTAGTGATGCCACTGTTTGGTCAAGATAGCAAAAGTCATTGAAAAGGAAGAACACATAAGCAAGGGCAGGTTGAACCAGTTTTCTTTTATTTATTATTTATTTATTTATTTACTTTGCTTATATACCGCTGTATCTCAAGCCCGAAGGCGACTCACAGCGGTTCACAACATATCTCCTTCTATGTCCCACCACGGAATAAAACAATTGACTTAACACATTATCCATAAATTACCAATAAGCAATTACAATGCACAATTATTATGAAAAACAACTGTACCCAATCTTCTCATCATCCAAGCGTAGTCCAGGTTCGTCGTCCATTGTTCCATTCCTATATTCCATTACCAGATTGCACTAAATTACTCAAACGCCTGCACAAACATCCAGGTCTTCACCTTTTTGCGGAATACCATGAGAGATGGTGCTAGTCTAATGTCCGTAGGAAGGGCGTTCCACAGCCGAGGAGCCACCACCGAGAAGGCCCTATCTCTCGTCCCCGCCAGCCGAGCTTGAGAAGCAGGCGGGATCGAGAGCAGGGTCCCCCCGGAAGATCTCAAAGTCCTGGTGGGTTCATAGGCAGAGATGCGGTCAGATAGGTAGCTTGGGCCAGAACCGTTTAGGGCTTTATAGGCCAACGCCAGCACTTTGAATTGAGCCCGGTAGCAAATTGGTAGCCAGTGGAGCTGGCGCAACAGAGGAGTTGTATGCTCCCTGAGTGCCGCTCCTGTTAACCTGGCTGCCGAGCGCTGGACCATTTGAAGCTTCTGAGCAGTCTTCAAAGGCAACCCAACATAGAGAGCGTTGCAGTAGTCTAAGCGGGATGTAACCAGAGCGTGGACTACCGTGGCCAAGTCAGACTTCCCAAGGTATGGGCGCAGCTGGCGCACAAGTTTTAACTGTGCAAATGCGCCCCTGGTCACTACCGAAACCTGAGGTTCCAGGCTCAGCGATGAGTCCAGGATCACACCCAAGCTGCGAACCTGCGTCTTCAGGGGGAGTGCGACCCCATCCAACACAGGCTGTAACCCTATGCCCTGTTCGGCCTTGCGACTGACCAGGAGTACCTCTGTCTTGTC